ACCAGCGACATAACTTCCAACATCACAGCAACATGCAAGCCACCATGCGTCTGTCAGTTTCTTGTACTGTGGTGGCTTACTTGTTGCTGTTATGCTGCAAGCTATGCCAATTGTATTGCAAATACCAGCAGGGTCACCCTGGGTGAACAGGTTTCAGTGGAGCTTCCAGACTAAGAAAGAGTAGGAAGGACCTGACAGTCTACTTCTGAAAAAATTGGCCAGTGAAACATTATTAATACCAACGGAACATTGTTTGATATAGTGATGGAAGATGAGCCCCTCAGATTGGAAGACACTCAAAAGACGATTGGGGAAGAGCTGCCTCCTCAAAATAGGGTCGACCTTTTGGGACCTTCATTTGCTTATATGGCATGACTCAACATGAGAAGAAACAGCTACAAACATCCATTAATAATTGGAACATGGAATGTATGAAGTATGAATATAGGAAAATTAGAAATGGTCAAAAATGAAGTGGAACACACAAAGATTGATGTCCTAGGCATTAGGGAGCTGAAATGGACTGGTATTGGCCATTTTGAATCAGACAATCATATGTTCTATTATGCTGGGAATGACAAATTGAAAAGGAATGGCGTCCCATTAATTGTGAAAAGAACACTTCAAGATCTATCCTGAAGTACTATGCTGTCAGTGATAGGATAATATCCGTAAGCCTACAAGGAAGACCAGTTAATGTGACTATTACTCAAATTTATGCACCAACCACTGAGGCCAAAGATGAAGAAATTGAAGATTTTTACCTACTTCTGCAGTCTGAAATTGATCAAACGTGCAGTCAAGATAATTACTGGTGATTGGAACGTGCAAAGAAGGATCAGTAGTCGGAAAACAAGGCCATGGTGGTAGAAGCTATACTGGAGATCGCATGATAGTATTTTGCAAGATCAACGACTTCTTCAGTGCAAATGCCTTTTTTCAACAACATAAACGGTGACCATTCACGTGGAGCTCACCTGGTGGAAAACACAGAAATCAAATCGACTGCATCTGTGGAAATAGATGATGGAAAAGCTTAATATCATCAGTCAAAACAAGGTCTGAGGCCGACTACAGAACAGAATATCAATTGTTTATATGCAAGTTCAAGTTGAAACTGAAGAAAATTAGAGTAAGTCCACGAGAGCCAAAGTAAAGCCTTGATTATATCCTACCTGAATTTAGAGACCATCTCAAGAATAGATTTGACGCAATGAAAACTAATGACAGAAGATCAGACGAGTTATGGAATGACATCAGTGACACCATACATTAAGAAAGCAAAAGGTCATTGAAAAGACTGGAAAGAAAGAAAAGACCAAAATGATGTCAGAAAAGACTCTGAAACTTGCTGTAGTACATTGAATAGCTAAAACGAATGGAAGAAATGATGAAGTAAAAGAGCTGAAGCGAAGATTTCAAAGGGGGGATCAAGAAGACGAAGTAAAGTATTATAATGAAGCGTGCAAAGACCTGGAGTTAGGAAACCAAAAGGGAAGAACACGCTTAAGCTGAAAGAACAGAAAAAAAATTCAAGCATCGAGTTGCAATATTGAAGGATTCTATAGGCAAAATATTGAACGATGCAGGAAGTATCAAAAGAAGATGGAAGGAATACAGAGTCACTGTATAAAAAAGAATTGGCTGATGTTCAATAATTTCTGGAGGTAGCATATGATCAAGAACTGATACTATTGAAGGCTGCACTGAAGGCCTTGGTGAAAAACAAGGCTCCATGAATTGACAGAATACTAATTGAGATGTTTCAACAAATGAATGCAGCTCTGGAAGTGCTCGCTTGTCTATGCTAAGAAATTTGGAAGATACCTGGCCAACCTACTGGAAGAGATGAATATTTGTGCCCATTTCAAAGAAAAGTGATCCAACACTATGCTGAAGTTATCCAACAATATCATTAATATCATGCCACAAGTAGAACTTTGCTGAAGATAATTCAAAAATGATTTCAGCAGTATATCTTCAGGGAACTGCCAGAAATTGAAACCAGATTCAGAAGAGGATATGGAAAGAGAGACATCATAGCTGATGTCAGATGTATCTTGGCTGAAAGCAGAGAATACCAGAAAGATATTTACCTGTGTTTTATTGACTATGCAAAGGCATTTGACTGCTTGAATCATAACAGATTACAGTTAACCTTGCAAAGAATGGGAATGCTGGAACACTTAACTGTGCTCATGCTGATCCTGTGCACAGACCAAGAGGCAGTTGTTCAAACAGAACAACAGGATACCGCATGGTTTAAAACCAGGAAAGACGTGTATCGAGGTTGTATCCTTTCACATACTTATCCAATCTGTATGCTGAGCAAACTACCCGAGAAGATGGACTATATGAAGAAGAAAGCAGCATTAGGATTGGATCAACCTGATACATACAGATGACACAACCTTGCTTGCTGAAAGCAAAGATGATTTGAATCACTTACTGATGAATATCAAAGACTACAGCATTCAGTGTATGGATTACACCTCAACTTAAAGAAAATAAATATCCTCACAACTGGACCCATAAGCAACATCATGATTAACAGGGAAAAGATTGAAGCTGTGAAAGATTTTGTTTTATTTGGATTTACAACCAACACCCCCGGAAGCAGTAGTCAAGTAATCAAACGACCTATTGCACTGGGCAAATCTGCTGTAAAATACCTCTTTAAAGTGTAAAAAGGAACAAAGTCACTTTGAGGACTAAGATGTGCCTGACCTGAGCCATGATATTTTCAATCTCATAAGAATATGAAAGCTGGACAATGAATAAGGAAGACCGAAGAAGAATTAATGTCATTGAATTAGGCAGTGGACATAGTGTTGGGCCACTGTGTTGATCCAGATTGGCTGAGTGACACTAATCTAGCAAATCTGCCTCATCAGTCCACTACCATTCATATACTTAGTGAATTAGAACCATGTGTGCTAAACTCTGGAAGTTCAATCTGTTCTCTTGAACCAGTACCTCAAAACAAGACTGAAACTAGATAATAGCATGAGTGTCTTTGTGTTTTGACTCTGGGAAATATTTATTTGAGAAGATGGAATTATTACTAAAGGGCTTTTTCTTAGTTATGTAGTGCTGCTGTAACAGAAATACCACAAGTGGATGACCTGATCAAACAAAAGTTTATTCTCTCACAGTTTAGTAGGTTAAAGTCTGAATTCAGGGTGCCAGCTCACGGGGAAGGCTTTTTCTCTCTGTTGGCTCTGTAGGAAAGTCCTTGTCATCAATCTTCTGTTGGTCTAGGAGAGTCTCCGCACAGGAACTCCAGGTCTGAAGGACAGGCTCTGCTCCCGGTCCTGTTTTCTTGGTGGTATGAGGTCCCCATGTCTCTCTGCTCACTTCTCTCTTTTAAATCTCAAAATAGATTGGCTTAAAACACAATCTAATCTTGCCTGATTAACATAACTGCTACTAATCCCATCTCATTAACATCATACAGATAGGATTTACAACACATAGGAAAATCACATCAGATGACAAAATGGTGGACAATCACACAATACTGGGAATCATGGCCTAGCCAAATTGATACACATATTTTTGGGGGTCATAATTGAATCCATGACAGGCCTACATTATTACGCAAATGTGAGATTGACTAAATCCCAGAAGAAATTCATTAGGCCTTGCAACAAAACCTCTTAGCTAAGAATTTATATTTTTAAAGCCAGATTTAATCTACTTCATAGACTTGGATTGGGAAAGACTTGGTAATGAACTTCAAAATAATGCAGGCGATTGTTTGAAAGCACAAGCAATAAAGATATCACAACAGCTAGTAAAATTAATGTATAACAAAGCAGGATTTTGGTGCATTGCTAGTCAGGAATGCGATTTAAGCATTTACTACTGGTATGATATACGTAAATGTTTTTATCCCACGTCAAACAAGTAACCATAGAGTAATGGTTCTCCATCCTGGTGACAGAGGTTGCAGGGGATCAATATGAAACCAATACCCAAAAAACATCTTGGATGTGATCCAGCCCTCACCTTCCCACTTTTCCTTTCTTATTGCCAGCAGTTCACATAGCACTCTTTCTCTGCCCTTAGCCACTTAGATCTAGGTCAGAGCTCACAAGTTAGAAGGACACTGTACTTCATACCAGCTGGCCATACAGCACTACTCTGACCTTACCCACAAGGAACTAAGGCACACTTCACAAGTTTAAAAGGAAACTGTCCTTGGGTTAATTAATTTGCTGGAACGACTCACAGAATTCACAAAAAGGCTATACTTATGATAACATCTTTAATATACGAAAAAGGATACAAATAAAGAGACAACATAGGGAAAGGTCTGTGTTGGTCCCCCACGCTGAGCTTCCATGTCCTAAGGAAAACACTACCCTTCATTCTGTGCAATTTTATCATAAGGTACCAAGAGGAGAAACTCGTAATCAAATTAGAACAGAAATTACCCAGGGTAGGGGAGTGTGGAGAAGTAGTAGTATTTAGCAAAGAGTAAGGGGGGGGGGAAGGAATTTTTCACAACAAAATTTTCTTGTTTCTGTTTTATTCATGGCACCAACAGTTTATAGTCACAAAGTGATCAGATAAAAGAAGTTGTATGCCACCCAGTCAGAAATGTGGGACCATTTATCAACACAACTTTTGTTTTACCTTTAGACCCAGTCAATGAATCACCAAAGCCATAAGCAAAAGCAATATCTGCCTACTTTGCAGTTTCTTTGTATCGGTTTCCCACATTGGGAACCCCTAGTATTTTACTTCTTAGACTCAGGTGAATTGTCCCTCTTCTTAGGAGTATTTCCTCAGTAAATTTTAGTCTACTTTTCCTCTTTTCCCCAATCCTCCAATCTACTTTTCATTCATTTCCTTATCAATTTTTTTTTTTTTTTA